AGAGGAATGACGAGGAATGAGGGAAATAAGATCTAGAGAAATATTCTTACTATGACAGCAGGAAGAAACCTGCTTTTTAGAAAGAGGACTCCTTTGGAAGAACCAGGAATGTGGAGCTCTGAATTTACACAGTTCAATGCAGCTGAATAGCAGCCTTTTAAGTTCCTTGATATATAGGTGGTCCTCTTCCCATATAAATGTGGCTTATTTTAGTCCAATCCTTTCTGTTTTGGCATTTCTCAGATTCCTTTCTCCTGCTGAATGTAATGTTTGTTTTACCATCAGGAAGAACAAAATTGTCTTCCTGGTAGCAGAGAAAGTCAGTAGATTCTCAAATCTTAAAAAAACGGAATTGAACTCAGCATTTACCAAGATCTTTCAGCAACTCATTCCAACCCTTTTTATCATCCAAATAAGTAACAATGAAAGAGTTTGACTGATCTAAAAGCCTCAACTTACTCAGTGTGACCTTGATACATTTTTGAGACTGTTTATGGCTTATGGGAGAATTTAACTAAGCACTAAACTTGAGAAAACCCACAACTGATTCAGGTAAACTTTAACCTTTGTACTCATGATCCTTTGAGTAGGAGGATGTGGAAAACAAAACTGTCTGAGTGAAAAGGGAATGGAAACTTTCCAGATTGCAAATATACTGACCTTCAGTAAGGAAGCAGCGAGATGTACGCTCTGGGTTTTGCTTTTTTAATCCCTTGAACATTTGAGGTTATTGCAATGAGTCACAGGTGCCCTTCATGTCTAGATATGATATTTGAGTCTTATGAGCTTTTTACACTTTTTTTTTTGCTATATGCCCAAATGCAAATTAAAAGGTCTAATTTAAAAAAAAAAACTAATAGTTACTGATAGTCTAGAAGCAGGTGCCCTGTTGCTGTGTTTAGCTGAAACAGTGGGCAGTTTGCATCCACTAATTTATCAAAACACAGTTTGCTGATCTCATGTTTACAGCATGTCAGAATTACTCTGCTCTTGAGACTTCGATTAATTTGTAAATTAAATGCGTAGTGCAACTTTACCTGCAGTTAATATTTTCTGCATCAAGTTGGGTTTTCCTAAGTTTTCCTTAATATCTATTTTTTTCCTATTTCTCTCATCATTATCCTTAAGACCTGAAGGAGTTGATGAACTACATCTTCCAAAGAAAATTTGTTCAGTAGTTTTTCGTGGAGTGCTAACTGCCATCTTAGATCAGCTTAACAACTAAAAACCACCCCTTTACTGCTGGAAAGGGGCTTGATGCTCAAGATGAAGCTAATGCTCCAATGTTCAAAATAAGCAGATCATGTTCCACAGAGTCATTTGATACCTTTGGTAAGCTGAAAACTGTGGGCACTAGCCTGCAATAACTGTTTCTGTTTCTTAATACAGGTTTTATAGGTGGGTTTAGATTAGTGGGAGAGTGGGTATAGAAGTCTCCTTCCATCTCTCAGTTCACTAGCTGAGTTGTGTGGCTTCCTGATGAAGCCTTGTGAGGCCTTGGAGAAATGCCTTGTTTCTCACTCATAAAAGGAGTTTGGAATTAAGATAGTTTCTGTAATTTCTATATATAAACAGTGAGGTAGGCTACAGAAACACTTGAAGTAATACATTTAATGTTTTAGAGAGTCTGTTTTCCTGCCTACCTGAACGCTTGGCCAGGATTAAAGACCAGAGCAGTATCATTGAAACTGCAGATTATGTTTTTATCTTATCCTTGGTAGCACTGACATGATAAATTGGCTACTCTTGAGCTGGTTCTATCTCCAGAAAACACAAGATAAAACTCATAGTTAATATTTGTGCATGTCAACTTGTTAAGGTTGTCCTTAAGTTGTGTAACTGAAATCCTACTGAGATATTCCAACAGTCACTTACGGTGGTGAGAAACTAGGTAACAGTATTTTTTTTTCTGTAATTTATGGGAGAGAAGAGCATTAGCAGTGGAAAGGAAAGTAACAGTGCCTTTTCTTCCTCTCTTCCCCTTCATAGATGTTTAGGGGTGTGTTACAGAGGCACCATTAAAGCCAGGCTTTTTAATGCTGTGGAAGACAGAACACTGAAGAAGGTGTCAGAGAAGGATGACAGCTTGGGGAGACTGACATTCATCAGGCCCCTTGGAGAAGAGAGGGAATGTGGTACATCAGGTATTTTAAGGGCTGTCTCTGCTGTTTCATGCTGGCCTTGATAATGCACTGATGTTGTAGGGTTACTGTGTTTCACCTCCAGAAATTTGCTGCATCACCTTTGTTGTTTCAGTCAACTCTGCCATTAGGTCTATTTACATAACCTGTGGTAATGTGGCAGCCAAACTTTGATTAGCACTTCCACCTCTGTGATTAGATGGACATCTGTAAGAAAGCAGTTTCCTTTGGTTGAGGACATTTTCTGAATGCAGGACTTTATCAGAGTCTGCAAAGTGTCTTGCTTCACTTTATTAATCCTACTGGTTTTTAAGTCAAAACTGTGATCTTGAAAGCTTGTTGCAGCAGGTAAAAGTGCTGGAATAATAAGGTTCAGTCCCACTGTGATGTGCCACAGCCTGAGAACCAAAGCTGAAGCCTGCATTTAGCTTGGGTAGGTGTGGGGGTTGGAATGTATCAAAGCTGTCAGAGACCATGGGAAGGAGAAACTACAGCTGGCAATTAAGAGTGACCATGAGAAGAAGGAACTACAGCAGGCAATTAAGAGTGACCTGTCCCTGACTGGTACTTGGAAGATGTTGGAACTGGCAAGGAACAAGGACGTCGGAACTGGAAAGAGGATGTCGATAAGAAAGTCAGATAGCCTTTTCACCTGATGTAACCGCAAGGCAAACACAGATGTGCTTTGCTAATTGCTTGGAAGCATATAAATATCGTGTAATCTTTTCAATAAACGATCCAGCTTGCACTCTACCTCTGGGTCTGTGCCTCCATCTTCACAGGTAGGACGTGAGCACTACTGCTGTCCTCTCTCTCTGCCTCTGGAGAGTGACCGTGGTCCCAGGTTGAAGCCAGATTCAGGATGCTGATGATAACGCACTGTTCCTCGGGAATTTCAGTCCTAAGAAGGAACTTATAGTCATGTTCTTACTTCATGTCCTTTGGGAAATGAGTATCCATAATTGCAGATAAGTTGGTGGGCAACATTCCCTCTTACCTCTTTCTCTGAAAAGCTAAGGATTTGCTGGGAATGGAGAACTTGGGGAGCTGCTACTATACTGGAAGAGACAAAACAAGAAGAAAGAGTCCATCAGTTCAGGGCAGCTACACCTCTTTTTCTGCTATTACAAGCACTTGAACTTGCCATTTCGTTTCTCCCCTTTGACTCCCTCCTCGTTGCGACAGGAGGCTTGCCAAGCAGAATGTGAGGGCCTGAAACTGCTAACCTGGATGCCTGGGAGCGGAGGAAAAGCACGATTTTTATTGGCAAGTTGGAAGGAGGCAAGGGTACAGAGAGGGAATGGGCAGATATGTGGCTATGTGTGGAGCTACACACACATACACATATGCAGAGCTTGGCTTCCTAACAGTTCCCCACATCCAATAAAACTCTAAATCCCATACCCCACCACTCTCAGCTGTCTCAGTTTTTAAATCTTGTCTTCTCCATGTCACCAGCTTCCTTAAAATGGCTTATGAGTGATCTGATAACCATTTTAAACTCTTAAAAGGAGTTTTTAATCAGAGGTATTTTTGTGCAACTGCTGAAACAGCAAATGTTATGTCTATAATTATGTGGAGTTAAACGGTGTCGCAGTAGAAGCTATGCTATACTAGCTGCTACTGCAGCTGGCTGTTTGAAATTTGACAATATTGTTATACACCATAAATGTCATCACATTACAGGAAATTTGAAACAATTTTAGGAAATATATGACTGAGTCTCCTGCAAATTCTTACTGGAACTCTGTTACAGAAAATTACCTGCCAATGTCATAATGCTCTGTTCAGTTATACTTCCTTTATTTTAACTCTTCAGTTCTCAGTTATGTAAACTCCCTTCAACCATTCTGACATTACTAAATGGGGCTTCTTAAAATGCATCTGCTGTTTCTTTACAAGAAATGACAAGACCATGACTGCGGGGAGATTCTGAGCTTCGGTCAGTGATCTGGTACCTGCTGTGGAAGTTCTTCACATTTCTATACGCACAGACACTGTCTTAATCCCCTCCAGGGGAAAGTTATACTGTGTTTCGCCTTTCTTCTGGTCTTCCCCTGTGACTCTCAGTAACTAAAGTCTTTTCACCGGCAGTGTTGTTTCCCTCTTGCATTCTGCAGAGCTGCCTGTGTTAGTAAAAATGGCCAGTTTCACGCTGCTGCCGAGGAGAACAAGGTAAACCTGCCGCGTTTGCAGCAAGTCCCCTCCTGGCCGCTCCTTCGCGGTCAGCAAAGCTGTAGGAGCGGGCTCCGGTCTCTGTGGGGAGAGCAGTGCCAGTGGGAACCCAGCTGCGACCCGAGGCCTCCCCTGCAGCAGCCGGTCTCGGTTCCGTCAGCGCAGCACGACGTCCCGCAGGCAAGGCAGCGGACCGGGGCCGCTCCCCTTCCCGGCGGCGGGGTGCAGAGGCCACGCGGGCCGCCCACGAACCCCACGCAGCTGGAAATCCCCACCACGGGGAAGCACGCTCCTCCGGCGGGTTTCCCCGGCCGGGAGGAAAGTACCTAACGGCCCGCTGACACCACGGCCTGCCCCTGCCTTGCCGGCGCCCTGCCTCGTCAAAGCCGCATGAGAGGGGCTGAGCGGCAGTGCTGAAGGAGCAGGGGTAGGGCTGCGGGAGCAGGGCTGAAGGGGCAGGGATAGGGCTGAAGGGGTAGAGCTGAAGGAACAGGGGTGGGGCTGAAGGAACGGGGTAGGGCTGAAGGAACAGGGGTAGGGGTGAAGGGTACGGGCAGCCCCGGGGAACGCTACTCTCGCCGGCGGCAGCACACGGAGGCGCTCGCTGGGGTACCGGGGTCCAGAGAAGGGAGAACCCTGGGGGCTAGCGGGAGGTGCCCATACCGGAAGCGACATCCGTTCCGGCCGCGCATGCGTCCGGGCCTTGCCGGGGCTTTCCCGGTGCGGCATTTCCCGGGCTGGGCGATGCTGGCGGGGGGCGATTCTTCCCTTCCCGGTCCCGGTGCTAGGCACTCTATATAGGCTGCGGCGCGCACTAGGGCCGCCTGCTGTGAGAGGCTCGGCCGCAGACCGTGAGTGTGAGGGAAGGGTGCGGGCGGGGAGGGCCGGGGCCCTGCCGGGTTTGCGCTGCTGTTGCTGTGTGGGCCGTGACGGGAGCTGAGCCCGCTGACGGGGCGGCGGGCAGGGAGATGCGCTCCAGCGGCGCCGCTGGGCACGGCGGGGGCTGTGGAGAACAAGGGCGGACGGCCTAAGGGCCTGCTCTGCCCCGAGCAGGGGTGTCCGGTGGAGGAGGGGGACGTTGCAGGATGGCCGCTCAGGAGCGGGACTTGGTCCCTGCGGGAGGAGGGTGGCGGCAGCGTGAGGGTGGAAGAACAGCGGGCGAGGCCCGGCCGTGCCGGTGAGGACCGCGGAGGAGTGCGGGGCAGCTGCTGTGACGTGATCTGTGAATTTAGCGGAAAGTGCTCAGAAGGTGAACGTGTTCTACCTGGGTTATAGCGCCAGAGCAGAAGAATATCGAGCTTTGAGGTTGCTGCACTTTAAATTTCACTGCTCTAGACTTAACTAACTTCTTGGTGATACTGCAGGATAACAGAAGAAGAAATGCCCTTGAGATTCAGAGCAGTTGTGTAGCTGTGGAAATCATGGCTACTCTGGGCTATAGTGGAGGATAATACTGGAAGAGTGTCTGGCAGAAAATGACCTCAGTATCTCATCTTTAAGTGAACCTAAATGTTTTAAGATTACTAGGGTCTCGGTTTGTTCTGGTATTTCCAGCGTTTGCTCTGAGGGATCTGACTTTCCAGTACAGAAACTGAATTAATTTCTTGGATTAGCAGAATATGTCTGTGCTGATACCTTTAGACCTACCATTGGTGTTAAAGGAGTGGATTGGTTTAAAACGTTTGTAACTAATGTGCTCGGTGATTAAGAAGCTAGTAGTAATAGTGTGACCATCTTAAGAACAAATCTGCTGAGAGCTATTGAGATGAATAGGAAATGCTAAGATGTTTTCCAGTAGGTGTTTTTCCTAGGGCTGCTTCTGATCATGACAACTATATCTGTTTTGAGTCTTTCCTGGAAGAACTTCTAAGGAATTGGTACTGTAAAACAGACTGCTGTATATGAATAAATGTGAAATTATGTATTTAAAAATGTTTGAATTTCATCTTTGCTTTTACCTGAATTTCTTATGAAGTTCAGTTTTGCTGGTGTCCTGTGCCTTAGGTATCTTTGGACTTGCGTAAATAAGAAATTTCAGTACTCTTAATTTAACTTAGTGCAATAAAACTGGATCGTCATTATTTGAGAATCTGCAAATCCATTTAAATGGATGCATCTTCTTTCCTACAAGATACTGTGTTCGGTTATACAGCTTGTGATCAAACTGTAAGATTCATCCACTTGCCAGAAAGGTTTAGCAAGTGTTTAGAAGGTGAATGTGGATTTAATATTTAATTGTGGATTAAATAGATTTGCATATGTCAGGAACTGGGAAATTGTGTAAAATCCACTCCATGTAACAGTATGTAAAGTTGGATCCCTGAAGCTTTCCAGCTAACATTACAAAAAAAGTTTATCTTGAGATGTTAATATTTCAATTTGTGTAGTCTCTGTTTGCATAGACATTACACTATCCTGATTTTGTGTATTTTGAAACGCTCCTCTCTCTTCTTTGCAGGTTTTGTTCTGCCCGAAAAAATTCAATGATTGAAACTATAAATACTTACAGTTTCTTCTTGTGAACACTCAGCATAAATATGGAGGCGTAGGCACCTTAAAGGGACATCGGTCTGAACTCTGGGAGGTAGTTCTGTGCACAAAGAAACTAAGGCTTCAAATTTTATTTCTTTTTTAATCTGAGGATTCTGTTTGCTTCTGTAAGCCATAAGGATGGCATACAGGAACAACTTAATTCAGTGGCATAAAGCATCAGAATGTCCTGACACAAAGCAATTAATTTATCTTAAATTTGATTACTCTATACTTGTAACTAAGGCACCAGGTTAAAACTGAAATGCTTTGCTCTCTGTGCTGACAGTGTTATAAACAGAAAAGCCTGGAGTTACTCCAGGCTTGTTAATGGAGAATTCATGCATCAGAGGCAGTGTAGAGGATTTATCTCATAGCTGAATAGTCAAGATATGTGAACTTGAGTATAAACTAACTTCTTTAGTCTCAGCAACTGTTACAACAGTACACGGAAGTTGAGGGTTGGTTTTTTTTTTGGTGGCTTTTTTTTGTTTTTTTTTTAAGTCTAGTAGTAGCAAATACTCCAGATCAGTTCAGGGGCTCTTTTTTTTCATCTGCCATTTGAGCTTGGTAAACCATTATTTTCAGCCTCCTAATGAGATACACAAACTAAAATCTTTACATGTGTAAGCTGTCTATGGTGAAATAGTTATTAAATCACGTAATACATGTTTTAGTTAAAAATGGTGTAGTTTTACTTGCTCCCCATTTTAGTTTCTTTATTGACAAAGGGTTTTGGTAAACCCATTTGAGGTTTTCCCAGTCTGGATCCCACTTCCACTAGCCTGACAAATTGATACTGCTTTCCCAGATATACAGTACAAGGAAATCATGTTATGACTAGATCTTACAAGGGAAAGTCTTTTTTGACATGCTTTCTTCAATTCCCAAAATGGGATAGGGCAGCTTTTGCACAGATAGCAGTTGTATAAACTAAAATACAAAAACTTCCTGGATGTTTAAAGGCTGTTAATCATGGGACTTATTCTGTTCACATATGCATTCAAAGTTGCACATTAAAGTATTTAATTTTCAAGCTTTCTTTTGTACAGACGGGTTATTCCAAATTGCCTTTAGTGCACACAACTACCTCCCAGAGGAAGACTTGTCCCATTCTTCCAAATATAGTCCATTATGAACATAGTGGAGAACAGCCCTTTCTTGGCTAGCATCATGAAGCGGAGTGCTGTGTGTGGTGAGCTGAAATATGACTTAACTTGTGAACTCTACAGAATGTCAACATTTTCTACTTTCCCCATTAATGTGCCGGTGTCAGAACGGAGTCTTGCCCGGGCTGGGTTTTATTACACTGGTGTGCAAGATAAAGTTAAGTGCTTCAGTTGTGGCTTAACATTGGACAACTGGCAACCAGGAGATAATGCTATGGAAAGACACAAACAGCTGTATCCTAGCTGCAGTTTTATACAAAGCATGCTTTCAGTTAACAACCTTGGAGTGCCCTCTCATTCTACCTTTTCGTCTCCAGTTGTAAACAGTCTCTTGCCATCTCTACATTCCATGACACTTTCTCAAGGTTCAGAACAAGTTGGATATTTCAGTGGCTCTTTTTTCAGTTTTCCTCAAGACCCAGTAACTGCTAGGGCAGTTGAAGATCTTTCATTCTTGAGACCTAAGTTTCACAATCCTCACATGAGTACAGAAGATGCTAGGCTACGCACTTTTCACTCATGGCCACTGACGTTTATCTCACCTGCTGATCTGGCAAGGGCTGGACTTTACTACCTGGGGACAGCAGACAAAGTTGCTTGTTTCAGCTGTGGTGGTCAGCTGAGTAACTGGGAACCAAAAGATAATGCTATGTCAGAACATCGGAGACATTTTCCTAACTGCCATTTTTTGGAGAGCCTCACCAGAGACCAGCAAAGTTTCAATGTTTCAAACGTGAGCATGCAAACTCATGAAGCGCGTGTTAAAACATTCATAAATTGGCCAACTAGAATTCTAGTTCAGCCTGAACAGCTTGCAGATGCTGGTTTCTACTATGTAGGTAAGAAACTGAAGTCTCTGGGTTTATTCATATTGCTGTGTCATCATTTACATAAATGGTGTGAATGTTTGCTAGATATTTTGCCTTGTTTCTTTTAAAGGCCACAATGATGATGTCAGGTGTTTTTGCTGTGATGGTGGTTTAAGGTGCTGGGAATCTGGAGATGATCCATGGATTGAGCATGCAAAGTGGTTTCCAAGGTAACTTGAAAATCTTTAGCATAATTTGTTCACATCCTTAATACTTCTGATTTGGACAGATATGTACTGTGGTTCATAGTTGTGTTTAACTTCATTATGTGATGTACAAATTCACTCCTTTATTTGGATGTATTTCATGTACCTCTGTTTAAAAGCTCTGAAGTGCTAAGTTGACCTTAAAACATTTCTTCATTAAGCATGATATTTAATGCTTTCCACTTCATAATTAAAAGCTGTGAGGCTGCATTGTTAATGAGAATACCTACCTAAGAGAAGCAGTCAGCAGGCAGACTGGGGAGAGCAAAAGCTGCTGAGAAATGAAGTAGAAGGAACATCTAACCCTCTTGCTCTAGTTCTGTGCCCATGCTGAAAGCTATTGAACCAGTCTTTCAGCTCATGCAGTTTAGTTTCATGGGTGTGGTAAGGCTTGTGAAGATTTCAGCAGCTGTTAATATGTCTCTTGGAAAAATTATGTAACTTTTTAACATCCCCCATAATTAAATGGCAGTTGCATACTTAATTGCTCTCTGTGCCTGTGGAAATCTCTGCCTACATGACAGATAGCTGTGCTTAATTTCAGGAAAGCTAATAATTTACATCACAGATCAACTAGTCTTTCATGGGCAATTTACCAGCTACTGTTGGACTACATGATATACATAGAGTTAAATGACACCTTTACTACCTTCTGTGTTATATCCGTCAGTAGATGAACTAAAGAGATCCATTCTGCATTAGTGAAGTAGGTGTGGCTTTGATAGTGGTTTTAAATGTTGCAAACTTATTTTGAATTACTTAAGTGGGGGATAAGAACGCCAAGATGTGAAATAAAAACAGTTTATCAGTGTACTGTGTAGTGATGCTGACACTGTGTCATTTCTCATGACATGCTATTTTGATTAGAAGTGGTAGCAGAATGTAAAGCTGCTGCATTTATATACCTAAGCCTACTGATGGCTGAATGTCATGGAAAGCTTTATCCAAGTGTCACCAGGCTACATCAAGCTTCCAGTTAAGAGAACTTTTTCACTTATGAAGGAAAAGAAATATATAATTAAGTTATGCTGTGTTACTGTAAAGTGTGTCGTTCTTATGTATTTTTTTTTTCCCCTTTGGCAATAGAAAGTATAATTCAGTATTACTTAACCTTTCAGATGTGAGTATCTGCTTCGTGTAAAAGGAGGAGAGTTTGTAAGACAAATTCAGGCCAGGTTCCCCCATCTTCTTGAACAGGTAAACTTTACTGTTCTGTAACTTTTTTCCTTCAAAAAGACTGCTACATTCTTCTGGGGAGTTCAGTCCATCCTTCTGCCTCGTTTCTGCATACCTTTCAACTAGGTGTCTGACGTGATAAATGCTCTTCATGAGCACAGAAATTAAGCCAGTGTTGAACCATGGCTAATGGACTGGGACTAGTAGAGATTAACCTGTACAGGTATGTATGGAAAGTGTCATGAGCCAGTGAGCTCCTTTGTGTCAGGAGAGGGAAATTCTGATTATATAAATTTCAGTGAGTAATGCCAATCAGTAATTGTTATTTCAGAAATCCGTTGTGGATAGCCTGAATTATTTCCATCCATAACTCTTATGGCAAGAGTAAGCGAACTTCTTCATGGAAGAAGAACTCTTCATGAAGTTCTTTTTCATGAAAGTGATCAGCGCTAACTTTATATTGATTATATAGTTGTACAAATACATTTTCAAATAAAAATCTTAGCATGGTTGATGAAGGAAGAATGTGTTAGAAAGCTATGTAGTGGGAAAAGCAATACTTTGATACTAATGTCGTTCTGTTGTTTTTCACAGCTCTTGTTAACCTCTGTAGATGAAAACGCTCATCCCCCAAGTATGTATATTAAAATGTGTTTTTAAACTTCCTCAGCACTTTGGTTGGAACTAGATGGTCTTTAAGGTCCCTTCCACCCCAAGCTGTTCTGTGATGCGGTTATTTTGCAGAGTTAATGATATGCTATCCGGAGGTGATTTGCATAACAATTCTTACATTTTCTTGGAAAGAACACTATTGTAAAGATTTTCTATCTAATGTTGTTACATGAACAAACTTTAAGGAAGCACCTTTAAGATATCTCGTCTTTCATTTTTCTTATTTTCACACTGACAGATCACACTGAGATTTGGCATCTGCTGTATCTGTGTTTTCTACTTTCATGGTTGGGTTAAACAAATCAATTTGGCATTTGTTAAATTGGGTTATGTTATAGAACTTGGTGGAACGGTTGCTAGAGGGTGTCATGACTATGTAGTTACGCAACTCCATTTTTACTAGTGTAGCTAGATAAATGCTCAGAGTTGAGAAGTAGTGGTCAAGGAGAGGGTAGGACAAGCTGATAGAGTGAAATCTTTCTGAGTTGGACTGTAGTTACGGTGGAAGTAAACTCCTCCCAGAGGGTGAGTGGGTTATCGGAGTTCCTGCTGGTTGAGGACAGCGAGTTGGAATCCCATGTGTCTGGTGCTTAGTATGTTGAATGGAAAATACTGATAATACTGAAGAGCTGCAATAGAACAATTGTCTTATTGTGAACTTTGAATTTTGACACACCCCCAACATTTTTCAAGGCTATTAATAAGTATAAAAAACGCTGCTAAGAAACAATGGAATTATCTGTGACTTCTCTTTAGTGAAAGCCTCACATGGACTGGTGTTTAGTATGTGTTCAGTTCAATTGTATTTAAGAAACTGGCTTCTAACTAACTACTTTTGAACTAGCTACTTAAAACCAGCTATTTAACCATTAAAGCTTTTTAATGCTAGGTATTCGTGTATATATGCATATGTGTGGATGATGTTGCTGTGCCTGACTTCTGGGTTGTATAGGTATTTTACTGATGGTATTTTTCCTCCAATCAGTTTTTCATTTTGAACCTGGAGAGAGTCATTCAGAAGATGTAATCATGATGAACACACCTGTGGTTAAAACTGCGTTGGAGATGGGATTCTGTAGAAGGCTAATAAAGCAGACAGTGCAAAGCAAAATCTTGGCCACTGGGGAAAACTACAAGGATATTCATGATCTTGTGTCTGATCTGCTCACTGCTGAACATGAAGAGAGGGAAGAAGAGAAAGAGAAACAATCTGAAGAAGTGGCATCAGGTATGCATGAAGCACTGAAAAAAAGTGAAAGCAGAAGTGTCTTGTGTGATGTAGAGCTTTTATAATTGTTTTTATTCAGTAAGTGATTTACTTAATTGCTGTTAGGATTGTCTTCTTTAAAAGCATTGTCAGGGTATCTGTATGGAGCTAGCAGTCTGGGAATTGTTTCATCTCCCTTCAGGAGGATGGTTCATATGGGTGCTGAGGGTTCAGAATCACCCCACCCTCTTCACCTGCTGGTAAGCTGCCATACCCAGCTCATAGAAGAGGCCAGAAATTTTTACAAATTTACGTTCTGTAAGACTGCTAAAATTCGGCTTTTTCTGTGTCTGACTCAACCGTTTAGGTCAGCTATTTAACTGTGTTTAAGTGTCTTTAATGTTTCCTACTGCTTTAATAACATACAAGTTTTGAAGCCTAAAAAAAACCTACTGTTTTTGAGTCTGTGAAGCAGTATTGAAACTTCTCAGTTATAAATTGAATTAAGACTGCTGCTTTCCTACTTGCATTCTATATCAAAACACAGATGAATTCAGCCATTAAATCTTCATAAATTTTTTTTTGTTTTTTTTGTGATAATCTATATAAAAAAAGGCAATCTCACAAGTCTGGTTGTGCTGTACTTGATTTTCTTCCACATAATTCTGTTGGACACTTCTTAGAAAAGTTTGATTTATATCTGCATCTTGGACATGATTTTGACTGCCACTGACTAAACCTTTTGGTTGTTAGTGAGTCAGCATTGGTGTTATGCAGAGGCATTGTTCTTGAAATTCTGTGGAGAACCTAAGTTGAAAGGATGCCTACAAAGAAGATGAAGACTCCCTTTTTACAAGGAGTCACGTGTTAAAAATGAGGGGTGATTGGCACAAATTATTCCCAGGGAGATTCCTGTTGAACAGAAGAGGAAAATTTTTCACATGAGAACAATCAGCCATTGGAGTAATGCCCCCAGCGAAGTGGTGGATTCCCCAGCACTGGACACTTAGGATCTATCTATACAGGGTGCTGGAACATCTAGTCTAGGTCATGCTTTGCCAAGAGAGACTGGACCAGATGATGCTTGAGGTCCCTAGCAACCTGGTATTCTGTAATTCTAAGTGAGTCTTGCTAGTGTGAAGTTAGACAAAATCCCCTCAGATAGTTTAAGTTAGATGTGGGAGCAGGAGGCTTCATTGGTGAAAAGGCTTCAGCTCAGAAGCTGCTTGTATGTGGTTTTCTTAAGTCTGTTGCGTGTGTGAGTGCCACTAAAACGTACTCGGTTCTTAATCAACAATGTGTAGTAAGTGAACATTTCAAACAGTTTAAAATACGTGTCAGTTATTGTTAAGCAGAAATGCAACTTGGAGTAGTGTTTGCTTAACAAACATCTAATTCTCTGCATTCCAGATGATTTGTCCTTAATCCGGAAGAACCGAATGGCTTTATTCCAACGTTTAACATGTGTACTTCCAATCCTCGAGAGTTTGCTGTCAGCCAAAGTGATCACAGAACTTACGCATGATGTTATTAAGCAAAAGACTCAGACAGCACTGCAGGCAAGGGAACTGATAGATACAGTTTTAGTGAAAGGAAATGAAGCAGCCAGCATATTCAGAAACTGTCTACAAGATTGTGACCCCATACTGTACCAAGATTTATTTGGTATGTGTGTCTCTTTCTTTTTTTAAAGGTATAACTTTGTAGAAATGCATAATCAGTGCTGTCATAGCAACCTAAAGATTAAAAAAAAAAAAAGTCAGATGCTGTTTGAATGTAGATTAGCCAAATGACTAAGGATTTTTTTTCTCTTATTTTAGTGGAGAAGAACTTGAAGTATATTCCCGCAGAAGATGCTTCAGGTACCTCTGACTCTACCTTCTTACTTTAAAGGGTATTGTGAGACGAACAGCTAACATCTTAAAGAAGAAAATGACTTTGCTAAAGAAATAGGTTTTGCACTTTACACTGTCCCTAATTCTGCTTTGGTAAAATGGACTTACCTGAAGAAGTTAAGTGCATGCGCAAAGTTGAAAGCAAGTGTGTCTGCTGCAAGCTATGTTCTTACATACGCTTTTGTGTCATAGGTAGAACTTTCTGGAGCTTGACAATTTAAGCACGTACTGGACTTGATCCTCGTACAGTATTTTTTTCCAGGGATTTGGTAGAGACTGGACAGTGAATAGGTTAGCATTTCACAACAGGTGTCATCATCTCTGCTTTTACAGAGTAGGTTATAGGTGTCCTAAAATGTAGCTTGACCAACAGTGGGGTAGCTAAAAACTTACCAGATGTGGGACTGAGTTTGCTCTGGTTCTTAGTCCTGTAGTTTAATAAGTTAATAGACTGCAGAAAAGTATACAAGCCTGAACGTAGCTCACTTCCACCAGTCAGCTTGTGCTCTGGGCTTCAAATACCCAAGCAAGAAAAGTACAGCATTTGCTAAAATGCTAACATGGGGTTGGCCTCCAACCCTTGAGCTGTTGTTATCTCACAGAAGTGGAATGTACAGACTAGTTCCTTGCATGCCACTTTCTGAACTCTGAAAATGTACTTACTGTCTTACTGCTGTCTAGTGAATACAGAGAGGGAAAGAAAGGGTAACATGGATGTATATGTTCAGGCTTGTTAAAAAGTTAAATGTTTTCTTTCAGGTTTACCTATGGAAGAGCAATTAAGAAGACTGCAGGAGGAAAGAACATGTAAAGTTTGCATGGACAGGGAAGTTTCCATTGTTTTTATTCCATGTGGTCACTTAGTGGTATGCAAACATTGTGCACCATCCCTTAGAAAATGCCCTATCTGCAGGGGGACAATAAAGGGTACAGTTCGTACGTTCCTTTCATAAAGAGGGAAACTTCCAAAATGTCTTCGGTAGTGTTATCTTCCAGCTGCTGAAGCTTAAGCCAGCAGTGTCCTAAGAATGGAAAATTGTGATACAGAAGACGATTAATCAACTACCTAACACTGTTGCGTAATAGTAAACTGTATCACCATTATGGGGATACCAGCCCATCCTTGCCAAAGACTTTCTGTTCATAAAGCTAGCTCAGTACTCAGGTGAAGTTTGTGTAACTTTCCTTTTTAAGGAAAGCAGTTTCACTCATGTGCCCTTGTGTCACTTTGAATAAAAAAAATTCTGGATCTTAAAATTGAGCCTGGTGTAACTCATGAGTTTCCTCCATGTGGATGTGAGGAAATACATTAAGATTGCTGTTTATTAATAATTAATATTGATTAACTTCAGTTACTGCTTTGGCTTCTGTTTTGGCTTTATTGTGGACTTGAGGAGAAAAGAGGGTATCTGTTGCAGGGACAGCAGGAGTTATTTTTTTAAAGTTCTGCCTTGTGTAGATACTTGTGTAATGTGTATTTAATTATAGTGTATATGAAGACTGAATTAAAATATTTCTGCTTCTCAAACAAGCGCTTCTTTTCTCTCTTCCCATTGTTGGCTTTTATCTGTAGACTGCTTCTCCTGGCAGAAGTTTGGGGTTGGTTATTTACCTGTAAAAGTACAATAAAATTTAATTGTGTGTCTTTTATTCGTTTTTGAGCAGAGAGTGAGAGTCTGCTGCTTGGTGATTCCCACTGGTAAAGCAAAAGGTTTTGATTTTTATCCTCATTAAAAAAACAACAAACCCCATGAAAAAACCCCACCGTAATGGCATCTGGAACTTCCTTCTCCTTGGTTTTTCAAAGAATAGAAATCCTGCCCCCCATGACCTTAGAGATGAGGCAGAGGGTAGCTATGCAGCAGTATAGCCTTTATGCTAGGGCTTAAAATGTAAAAGCTACTTTTCTGTGTTTGGAACTTAATTATGATTGTACAATTATATAGGATCTTCTAGCCCCATCTCAAGTCATGGGGTCTTACTTTGTAAGCTGGTAGTTCAGGGACTTCTGTTTCTTTACTCTTTGACTCTTACTTTATCCTTTTAAGCTTTGTATCTGTAGACTTGCATAGTAGATACCCACGGAGGGAAGGGGGTTCGTAGGTATTTTACAGGGATTCAATGTCAAACACTGGAATGCAGGATGAAATCAGATCCTGCAGTGGTGATTTTGGTTTGTCTGGCTCTTATGTCAGCTGTCTTCAGTCGTATCTTCATGCCCAAGTGTGAATCTCTCAATCTTCATCCCTGCTAGAAATAAGATGTTTTTAACTGTACTGTGGTGTCTTTACATTCTGTAGTGTGAGGTGAAAATACCTTGCAAACATTGGCTTCCTCAGACTTCAAGTTGTGTGCGTGTAACTGGCTTTCATCACTTCATACGTGGCTTTAGATATACATGTGTATCCTTTAAAAGGAGAGCCCCCCATGTGTGTGTGAAAAAGTAAAGTGTATACATTGAAAAGAGCTTGCGTGGGCTATGCAGCTTGTGACTCCTCGTGATTCACCCTCTGTAATGGTTGCCCAATGCTTAGAGCAAGGCCTGTGTTTAGTGGGGGGAAATGTTTGTCACTAGCAAATAAATTCCCACTAACACTTAGAGGTGCTGTTATGTTTGATGCTTGTAGACATCTTTCCTGTGGTACATCTGAGTTGTAAGTTAGTAAAAGTCCCCCTCTGAGTCGGTGAAGGGAAACTCTGGATCTCCTTCTATAATCACCTGCCATCTAGGGCAATCTGTCCACTGCGTTTGGGGTTTAGGCTGTATGCAAAGTTAACAGTAAATTTTATTTCTAGCATAATTGCAGCCTGCATGTTATATCAAAGTTTTGGATAGCTAAAAAGGGCAAAACCATGTACTTTTATTTGTTAATGACACGATTGAGGCTGATTTGTTAATAGATTCAGGTTGTTTCAGTAAAGCTTATCACTTTAAATTTGGTGAGGACAGTTGAGCACAGGAAGACACAAATACGTTCTAGCTGCCATCTATCCTGTATCTCCAAGCAGCATGTCATGGGCTGGAGTCCCTATCAAAATACTACTGGAGTTGCTCATTTTGAGAAGTCTTGCTTTGCTGTCTGGGGGTGAGGAGAGAGGTGTAAGAATATGGACTGGTTTGTCTTTTTAAACATTTTTAGTGTGAATTCAGCAACAATGATGTTTGGTTTCACCCATGTTTTCATAATTTCTGCAGCACCAATTAATGCTGTGCATTAGCTGGCACTACTTGTTTCAATGCTTTGGAATATGTTCCTTGTACATAGGATTCTTTAACTGTCAGCTGGCTTGCTGTAATTCTTCTAAATTCATATCTTTTGTCCAACTTCATTACATGTACATGTCTTCCTTTTAATTTTGGTGTTAAACATGTAAATATTTCAAACGTAGCATGTAGTTTTAAACAGTTTTGATTAACATATGTTTGCTTTTCTGGTCTTGAAATGTTTCTGAAGGCTCTTTTGTGTAGCAACTTAAAAAGTTGTCAAAGGTTATGAAAGCTTGTTAAGGAATAAAGCAAATGACTTGAAATTTGATGTTCAGACCTAGGAACTGGTAATACTGGAACCCTAAGTGTGCTTAGTACAAATTAAGATGGGTCTGCAGGAGGAGCTGGAGAGATCAGGTTCACCTGGAAAGTGTAGAGTTGTTAGTATGTGTTTCTGAACAGAGAAGAAGATAGGGGAAAACAGTAGTAGGCAGACTTCTTAAGCATTTTTTTAACGCATTTTTCTTTAGAACCATAGGGAATTAGAGTTTTTCAACCATTGCTGTTACTACATATAGATCTGATGACAGGATATGCTGGGGCTCAGAAGTGATGCAGATGTTTGGTGTCATTTGTGGTGCCTGAGGGTATCTTTGGGCCTGCAACATACCTGTCAGCCCAACTCCAGTCAGCACTGGCTGCTTGCATCTGGGCACCTGAACTACCTTCTGAGAAGTGAATGATACAGAAACTGCTAGGTAAAGTTCTTTGACCTTGTTTTGGCAGGAAGGCCTGTCTAGGTTATGGCTTTCAACTACTCCACACTATGATGGTTGTGGTTGCCCTGATCTCTAGTGCTGCATGAGCAGTCAAGCTCTCCTTGGTACTTTTCCAAGACAGCTGTAATGAAACTGACTCTGTAGCACGTTGCAAACAGCACCTTAGCAAAATCTTCAACCACAGAGAAGACTGCCTGCATAGTGTCAAGTTTGGAGAGGATCAAGGGACTTCTGTTCCCTGTGAACAAGCTGACCACACTTACATTTTGTTCTGTCCACTTCCTCCTTTAAAAGCATTTTCCAGAGCTTTGTCTGGGTTAAACAGCAGCAAACAGCCCTTGTGCCCTCAGCTTCCTGTGCAACTCTGCTGACCCAGCAGCTCAGGTTTTTCAGATGTCAGCATTCTAGGTCTGGAGCTTGTCATGAGCTTGCTGAGCATGTTTGCACAGCTTAGGGGGTTTAGAGGGTGGGAAGCTTGGTATCATTGGTCAGACTTGCTGTAAATGAAGGTTAGAACAAGTCCAGAGGAGGGCCACGAGGATGATCAGGGGACTGGAGCACCTCCCATATGAAGACAGGCTGAGAAAGTTGGGTCTGTTCAGCCTGGAGAAGAGAAGGCTGCGTGGAGACCTCATAGCAGCCTTCCAGTATCTGAAGGGGGCCTATAGGGATGCTGGGGAGGGACTCTTCATTAGGGACTGTAGTGATAGGACAAGGGGTAACGGGTTAAAACTTAAACAGGGGAAGTTTAGGTTGGATATAAGGAGGAAATTCTTTCCTGTTAGGGTGGTGAGGTACTGGAATAGGTTGCCCAGGGAGGTTGTGAATGCTCCATCCCTGGCAGTGTTCAAGACCAGGTTGGATGAGGCCTTGGGTGACATGGTTTAGTGTGAGGTGTCCCTGCCCATGGCAGGGGGGTTGGAACTTGATGATCTTAAGGTCCTTTCCAACCCTAACTATTCTATGATTCTATGATTCTATTCTAAGATGATATTCCCAGCCTCTATAAATGAGCAATTTCTTTACCTGAATGAAGCTTATCCTATCTGCAAAGGATCTAGCTTGGAGCACTTGCAGTTTCTGATACTGGTTTGGGATACTGTAAGGTACAGTGGCTTCCCAGGTAGCAATTGTATCTTTTGTTAAGCAAAGTACCATGAAGCTTTATTGTAATTACTTAGTAGTTTCCTGCATGTGTGGTGGTAGTTTTTTTGGTGTGTTTTTTTTTTGGGGGGTGGTTTTGTGGTTTATTTTTGTTTGGTTGTTTTTTTTTTTGGTTTTTGTTTGTTTGGTTTTCTTTTTTGGGTTTGTTTTTTTGTGCATGTATATGTGTGGCGTGTTTTTTTAACTGAATGCAGATCTTTCTGTTCTGTTTGACCAGTGAGCCCAGAGCTCTTCAGACTGAAGCCAGCATGCAGGCCTAGTGCCCACAAGTGATTGGACGGCCACCCCTCATTGTAACAGGGCACTGCCTTTATATGCCAAAATAAATGGCCATACATGAAATATCTGGAAACTGCATTAGCATGATATTGAGAAACAAAAATTCTTATATTGCTGCTTTTTGTAGCTGAGAGTTTGTGGTTGTTTTGTAACTCCATAGTACCATGCTCTCAGAACTTGGTTCTTTGCTGTATTCCTCATGAGACAGAAGGAAAGCACATGAAATTGCAAACTGTATTCACCTGCCTTTAATTCAGTGTTGTGGTGGTTGCAGTGTAGTGAGGCTGGGTGTGCAGTATCGTGTTTAATGCTGCAGATGGACTGAGCTTGTAAATTCTGCTTTCTTGCTGCGTGTTATTCCTGGTGAGCCACCTCAGGTATGTGAATTTAGGCAGGACATGTTTTCTGGACATTGAAGGTATTCCCTGTTCTGCTGAACTACTTAAAACACGCAGTTGTTGCTCTTGTTCCGGAGGTTACTGGTGCAGGCAGTTAACTTCCTGAGACAGCATTAAAGCACCAGTCTTTTGTTTCTGTTTTTGAGCATGTGCACAGAAGCTACCAGTGCTGCAGCCCTGCTTCCTCACTGGTGGCTGCTGGCACGGAACCCTTGAAGCCCAAGAATCTAGGGTACTGCATGCATCCTGTGTGAGGAAGAACAGAAATCCAAACAGATCTTGATGTGCTATTTTCAAAAAAGCAGGTGAGGTATTTCTGCCCCCCCCCCCCCCCCCCCCCCCCCCCCAAATCCTGCTGGAACAAAACAGGAAATTGCACAATAAGTAATGTCCTAGGAGTAGCCTTCACATTTAATTGTGGCCTGGGGAAACTTTTTTTAGGCAAAACAAAATGGAGAACTTCCCGAAGGGTTCCAAGCTTACATGTTGGAGGGTGCAGATTTGGTCAGAATGAAGATCTTTGGGATGCTCTCTTCATTTGGCAGGTAGCGAAATGAAATACTTGG